GCCCCTACAGCCTGCTAGAGGCTACACGGGGGACCTTTGTCTGTGTCTACCTTCATAGACACTGTTGCTGCTACTCGCTACTAACAGCACTTGCCCCTACAGCCTGCTAGAGGCTACACGGGGGACCTTTGTCTGTGTCTACCTTCATAGACATTGCTGCTGCTACTCGCTACTAACAGCACTTGCTCCTACAGTCTGTTGAAGGCTACACGGGGGACCTTTGTCTGTATGTGCGTGGAGGTTTGGAACGACGCTGCGACACAGATTTTCTACTCGTTGGGGGTCGGATTCGGAGGATTGCTCAGCCTAGCCTCGTACAACAAGCACAACAACAATGTGATCAGGTGAGGAGGGTGGTGAGGGTGAGGGTGGTGGTGAGGGTGGTGGTGGTGGTGAGGGTGGTGATGGTGGTGAGGGTGGTGGTGAAGGTGGTGGTGAGGGTGGTGGTGAGGGTGGTGAGGGTGGTGGTGAGGGTGGTGAGGGTGGTGGTGGTGAGGGTGGTGGTGGTGGTGAGGGTGGTGGTGAGGGTGGTGGTGAGGGTGGTGGTGAGGGTGGTGAGGGTGGTGGTGGTGAGGGTGGTGGTGGTGGTGAGGGTGGTGGTGAGGGTGGTGGTGAGGGTGGTGGTGAAGGTGGTGGTGGTGGTGAGGATGGTGGTGAAGGTGGTAGTGAAGGTGGTGGTGAGGGTGGTGGTGGTGAGGGTGGTGAAGGTGGTGAGGGTGGTGGTGAGGGTGGTGGTGGTGAGGGTGGTGGGGAGGGTGGTGGTGGGAGTGGTGGTGGTGAGGGTGGTGGTGAAGGTGGCGGTGAAGGTGGTGGTGAAGGTGGTGGTGAGGGTGGTGGTGAGGGTGGTGGTGGTGGTGAGGGTGGTGGTGAGGGTGGTGGTGAGGGTGGTGGTGAGGGTGGTGGTGAGGGTGGTGGTGGTGGTGAGGGTGGTGAGGGTGGGGGTGAGGGTGGTGGGCGGTGCCGTGGGGGGAAGACCAATTCCGATTGGCCATTCCCACCTCGTGCCTTTTGTAGCCAACACAGCGACCAAACGGGGGCTCTGGACGGGTACGAGGGGCTGGTAACCCGTCCACCTTCAATTAATTACCACTAAACCACGTGTAAAATATATAACTAATAAGCTTGTACCGGAGGCCCCGGGGGGCCAGGCGTTTATGACATCTTCTGGCCAAACCCCAATTGGCGGAGCAAGGAGATTGAATTTCTACCCTCGGGGCTCCTCCAGAAACAAAGAAAAGCCACTTCGTGTGGCCACGTGGAATGTTCGAACGCTCACTGCGGAGGAGAGGCTGCCACTCCTCTGTCGGGAGCTGGACCGGTACCACCTGGATCTCTGTGGCATTCAGGAGGTCCTGGACCGGTTCTGGCTCCTGCCACCATGAGGGGTGGACAGTCCCTCTACTCGGGGCAGGAGAATGCCAAACAACAGGGAGTGGCTCTTCTTCTGAACAAAAGAATGAAGGGGGCGTGGGAGCGTGGCGGTGAGGTGTGGGAAGCTGTAAGCCCCAGGCTACTTTGGGCTCGCCTTCCCATCAACCGGAGGCGAGGAGTGGTGGTTGTGGTTACTTATGCCCCCACTGAAGACGAACATCCGTGGAGGGATGCAGACAAAGCCGATGAGTTAGATGCCTTCTATGACCTCCTGTCACAGGTGCTGGCTAAAGTGGCCCCTCGGGATAGAGTCATCTTGTTGGGCGACTTCAATGCCCGAGTTGGTCATGATGCTGGCGCCTGGTCTGGAGTGATTGGAGGGCATGGGCCAGATCAGCTCAATAACAACGGCAGGAGGCTGCTAGATTTTTGTGCAGCCCATGGGCTTGTAATAACCAACACGCTGCGGTGTAAAGATCGGCCTCTGTGGAGGACGCTGCTACTGGGCAGTTGGAGGTAGTCTTCCTCCAGCAACAACAATGGAGGGCGGAGGAGCGACGCTCACAACAACGAGCGGAGCGCCGGGTGGCTAAAGCACAGCAGGTTGGCACGGTAGGGGGCACAGGTGGTGCATCAGCCAGTCATCTCAGTCGTCTCAGTCAGTCGACCCGTGGCACCTGGGTCTGCCCCGTGACCTCCTGCCAGCGGGCGTTTGACACTTCACGTGGCCTCAACGTGCACATAGCCTGGCACAAGCGTCGTGGTGACGTCACCGCCACTTAGTGGCGAATGGCGGTTGTTGTTGTGTGTAGGTGTGCGTGTGTGTGTGACTGCCTGTGTGTGTGTGACTGTGTGACTGACTGTGTGTGTGTGACTGTGTGTGTGACTGCCTGTGTGTGTGTGTGTGACTGTGTGTGTGTGACTGCCTGCCTGTGTGACTGTGTGTGTGACTGCCTGTGTGTGACTGTGTGTGTGACTGCCTGCCTGTGTGACTGTGTGTGTGACTGTGTGTGTGACTGTGACTGTGTGTGTGTGACTGTGTGTGTGTGACTGTGTGTGTGACTGTGTGTGTGTGTGACTGTGTGTGACTGTGTGCGAGACTGTGTGACTGTGTGTGACTGTGTGTGACTGTGTGTGTGTGAGACTGTGTGACTGTGTGTGTGTGAGACTGTGTGACTGTGTGTGTGTGAGACTGTGTGACTGTGTGTGTGTGTGACTGTGTGTGTGTGACTGTGTGACTGTGTGTGTGACTGCCTGTGTGACTGTGTGTGACTGTGTGTGTGTGAGACTGTGTGACTGTGTGTGTGTGAGACTGTGTGACTGTGTGTGTGACTGTGTGACTGTGTGACTGTGTGTGTGTGACTGTGTGACTGTGTGACTGTGTGTGTGACTGCCTGTGACTGTGTGTGTGTGACTGTGTGTGTGACTGCCTGTGACTGTGTGTGTGTGACTGTGTGTGTGACTGCCTGTGACTGTGTGTGTGTGACTGTGTGTGTGTAACCTGCAGCGCCACACCTATTACCATCATTAGGGGAAAAAACGGTGATCCAATTTCCGACCCCCAGGAACAGGTTCGCAGATTTGCTGAGCATTTCTGTGAGGTCCTGGGGGAGGGAAAATCCCACAGCCAGGAAAACATCGTGGCACAAAGTGAGGATGACCCTGCTGAGGCTGCGGTGCCTCAAATATTGGATGAAGTCACCCCCTGTGAGTGGCTGGCTGAGGTGCCATCTGCTGAGGAAGTATTGAAGGCGATCCGGAGTCTGAGACCAGGAAAGGCAGCGGGCAGAGATGATCTCCCAAGCGAAATGCTGAGGGAGGGTGGCGTTTGTGCACAGACTGCCCTATATGACATCATAACAACAGTCTGGACCACTGGACGGGTTCCGCAGGATTGGAAGGATGCCCTGGTGGTCCCCCTCTTTAAGAAGGGGGACCGCACAGACTGTAACAACTACAGGGGCATCTCACTCCTCAGTGTGCCGGGAAAGGTCCTGGCAAGGATTATTCAGCATCGCCTTGCCAGGCGCGCTGAGGAGAGGCTTGCGGAGCCCCAATGCGGTTTCAGGAAAGGGCGGTCCTGCACAGATGCCATATTTTCTGTCCGTCTGCTACAGCAGAGGTGTAGGGAATTCCAACAAGACCTACATCTCTGCTTTATTGACCTGGTCAAGGCCTATGATACCATCAGTAGGCCTGGGCTCTGGGTCGTTCTTCGTGCTTTTGGAGTACCTGACCCTCTGCTCACGATCATTAAGGACCTTCATGATGGTGAGCGGGCCCGGGTAAAACTACGTGGCCGGGAGTCAGAGCCATTCCCTGTACACCTTGGGGTGCGACAGGGATGTCCTCTGGCTCCCACATTATTTAACATCTATTTTGACCACGTAGTTCGTGAAGCCTTCAATAGCTGTACCGGGGGAATCTCCATATGGTACAGATATAATGGGAGGCTAATCGATGCCCGGGTGCGGTCAAGGGATGGCTCCCTATTGCTCAACCACGTTATGTATGCTGATGACTTGGTAATAGCTGCTCAGTCAGAGGAGGAGTTGGAGACGCTGCTGCTGAGACTGGAGCGTGCCACTAAGAGGTGGGGCCTTACCATCAGCCCCACCAAAACTAAGCACCTGCCTGGGTATTTTGTACCATCGGACACTCCACCCCCACAACTCCCAATCGGTGATGGGGCAGTTGTGGAGAGAGTGGAGAGTTTCCCATACCTGGGCAGTGTGCTTATGACTGGCTCCAGTTTAACAGCAGAGGTCTCACTCCGAATCAGTCGAGCGGCAATATCTTTTCATCGGTTGCGTAACGCTGTGTGGAAGCTACCTGGTCTGTCGCTCCGCACTAAGCTTCAGGTCTTCTCGGCCACGGTCATTCCCTCCCTTCTCTACGCTTGCGAAACGTGGACCCCCCTAATGGAACATCTTCGCCGGTTAGAAACATTTAGGCTGACCTGCCTACGATCCATCCTGGGTTTAACCAGACTGGATTGTGTGAGGAGCTCACAAATCCTTGAAAGATCTGGGCAGGGTCCCATCGGTGAGCTCCTCCGGCAGGCAAGGCTGCGATGGCTGGGTCATGTAGCCCGCATGCCCAGCCACCGCATGCCGAAACAGCTTTTGTTTGGCCGGATTGAGGGGGCTAAGCGGGCGCGGCACGGGCTAGAGAAGAGATGGAGTGATGTGGTACAGGAGGACGTGGAGCTGAGTGGACTTGCCGATGACTGGTACCAGCGGTGTCAAGATCGGCCTCTGTGGAGGAGGCTCGTGAAGGATGCTACTGGGCAGTTGGAGGCAGTCGCCCTCCAACAACAACGGAGGGCGGAGGAGCGACGCTCACAACAGCGAGCGGAGCGCCGGGTGGCTAAAGCACAGCAGGTTGGCACAGTAGGGGGCACAGGTGGTGCATCAGCCAGTCATCTCAGTCAGTCGACCCGTGGCACCTGGGTCTGCCCCGTGACCTCCTGCCAGCGGGCGTTCGACACTTCACGTGGCCTCAGGGTGCACATAGCCTGGCACAAGCGTCGTGGTGACGTCACCGCCACTTAGTGGCGAATGGCGGTTGTTGTTGTTGTTGTTGTGTGACTGCCTGTGACTGTGTGTGTGTGACTGTGTGTGTGTGTG